CATCAAAGAATGGAGGAGAATTACATGATCCAACAACAGGATCATGATCCCTGATGTGAGACTACCCAATGCTAGTAAAATCCCAGAGATTACTCTATGTATGTCTAGAGCAAGGCTTTGATACCAATTGAAATTGGTACCAGGTAGAATACCCTACAATAAAAACTTAAAAACCACTGTACTAACTAGCCAACCTACTAGTCAACTGAGTACAGATTGTTAGAATCCCACAAGCATAAAAATCAAACAAACTTAAAAGGTTATAAATAAGTTTTAGTCTTAGTACTTGAGTTAAGTTCACTTGATTAATAAAGTGTCAATACTAGCAAACCCTACAATGTTTAGTTCGTTCCAATAAGGTTATAAATAAGGCTTTGTAAAGTATTGAACGTAAGGATGTTTTTGGCTAGAAAAACTCATATCTGGGTTAAAAAACTAGGGACTCCCCACCGAGTCCAATCCACTAGTGTAAGCAAAGGTTCATACAAAGATCCACACAAAGCTCAATTCCTAGAACCCCTATCAAATGAGCATCTCTACATTTATGCAACCTTGCCTTACACAAGACACAGTCATTCGATCTTCACAAAGTGGTAGCTCCTCCTGAGCCCATCACCTTGTGGCATCGAGATCAACACGATCAATAATGTGATATGATTTTATGATAAGCATAAGAAATTTGGATTCAACTGACCAATTAGGTTTTTCAGTCAAACAGTTGAAGAAGAACCTAATATGAATCCGAGAGATTGGTCTATGAAGGATATGAAAAACTCAGGTTTAGACCAAAAACTCAATGCAAAGCCATTAAAACAATGCAACCTTAATATGCAATGATTGGGTGTTTGTGCGTAAGATGGTTTGTGGCTAGGGTTTCAGTTTGGAAGTTTAAGAGGTAGCTCTAGGCTAAATGCACTCTTTTCTTGAAAATGTGAAAATCCTAACCAATGAACAAATGAAACCTTGAAAGCCCTTATAATGGAGGAGATTAATGTTTTAGACAAGGGCAACAAAGAGACACATGTTACGAGTCAAAGAGACTTTCCCAGATCAAGGGTGATAGATCACGCACAGAAAAAAGTGTCAGATGGCCCATGTGGGTTGTTAGCTGGAAAACAGACGAAAATTCTGACTAGACAAACTACACTAGACAAAAGGATTATGGAAAAAAGAAGAAGCTTAACATGCATATGAAAAGGTATGATTTAAACCTTTTATAGTGAAGATGGCTGGTGCTTTGACAATTTAATTCTAGCAGAAATCCTAGATCAACATTGAACCCTAACTCTAAACTATGAGCATGTGTGGTATCAAATACAAGATTTGACAAAGGAAGCCAAACAATAAAACTAGTATTAAACATAATCATTTATTTATTTTTCTTTAATATAGGAGGTATCCCTACCTATTACTGATGGGCATTTTTTTTTTAACAAACGATGCTATCTACACAAAAGGGGAAAGAAACCATGAAAAGCCTAAGGAAGATCAAGAAGCTCAAGGCCCAAGGGGCTTAGAATATGAAACTTTCGAGCACCAAAGTCGACCGCCCATGAGTTCAGGTCGACCAGGATATGCGCAGAGCTTTCCAACCACCAAGGGAATGTTGGTAGACTAACAACTTTATGGCACAAGTCTTTAGGGATAGGTCCATCAAGATGTCAATCAAGCCACGTGGCAACTCAAAGTATGAAGTAGAGACCTAGGATATGCCGGTTGGTCAAAACAACACTTGGAGAGACAAGTTGGATAACCAAGGTCGAGCAAGATGATCGACCCGCATCATTTTGGAAATGCGCACCATTTTGACTGAACGCATGTCACAAATGTCTAGTTGATAGGTGAAAAGGTGTCCGCATACTAGTCTACGTAAGTGGCGCATTAAATGTCCAGTTGGGAAGACCCAAGGTTGGGGGCTTTATTGAGGCCCTATATATGGGAGTGAGAATCTCCTATATTAGGGTCGGACGACTGAAATGAGAGAAAGTTCATGTATTAGCCAAGTACTATTTTTAATCTTGAAATTAATATAATTCGAATAACGCATTGGATATAGTCCAATCTTAAGGGGTGAACCACTTAAATCTTTAAGCTCGTATATTTCAGTCCATATTCTAAGCCCACCAAGGGTTTATTGTTTTAATTTGTTAACCTATAAATTTTGAGTGTCAACAGTTTGGTGGCGTTTGTGGGACGTGCACACGATTTGGTTGCGTTTTCTACCTAAATGTCTTAGGATATTTCCGTGTTTATGCTTAACTGAGCAGGATGACTAGCAGAAAAATGAAAGATAAGGACCTTTTGAGCAAACCAGAGATGACCCTTCGAAGAAAGAGACGAGAAGATAGGGCCATGCTCGTCAACTTAGAGGAGAATATGAATGGCATACTTGTCTGCGTTAGAGAGATGAATGGGGATAAAAGGCGAGGATGCCAATGAAGTCATTAACAAGATGCTCGGAGCAGAGGAGATTGTGCTTGGGGCCATCAAACAAGTGATGAAAGGCTCACCCGATCGCCCTGGCTTAAAAACACCCTGATGGAAGTCATGAGTGGGGAAATGAAAAGTACGGGACTGATTGGGAGGCATAAAGCGAGCATTTAAGGCCAAGAACCTCGACTACTCCAAGGAAGATGTTCCTATGTCATTCTTCAAGGAGCTGTTTGATGAACCAACTAGTGAATATACCCGAGCACGCAAAATGCAAAGCTATTAGGGTCTCACTGATCTGTATGACCACCTAGACTGGTTCACTTACGTTGTTGAGGGTCGAGGGAATAACGACACTCCAAGTGCAGGCTATTTTGAACCATTCTCAAGGAGGGCTTGTGATTAGTTTAAGAAGATTTTCCCTGCATGTGCGTTTGTTAGAGGTGATCGAGAATTTGCAAATATAGTAGCATAGTCTTAGCAAATCTACAAAATACAAGAAGGTAGGAAAGGAAAATTACTTGAAGAAATGACGGTGAGAGAGAAAGTCTTGCAGATGTAATTTTCAAGTCGCTGGAGTATTGAGGAGGGAAAATGGTAGAATTTCAGTATTGAGAGCATGAAATGAGAGAAATGGGTTATGATGAGGGATGTTTACATAGCCCCGAGCATGTAATCTCAGCAGTCGATGGAGGGGCGACTGAGTGACAATATCACGACACTTGGCATCTGATTGATCTTTCTCTGAGTTGACGAGAAGTGAAGTGACATCAATACGTCTATAAATAAGATGTGCATCAAACACCTGAACGTCTATCGACTGTGATACAGATGAAGCATAAATAATACATAGTTACGAATGACAGAACCATGAGCTAGGCACACCTGAAACGCTTTCTCCGGTCGTGCATCATCTAACGTACCGACCGATCATTTCAACTCCATACCCAACAATGAACCCTTAATCAATGAGTTGGAGGACTTGTTAATAATGTGTACACATAATGGTGCATGTTGGGAAATAAACCACGAAAAGCCTAAGGAAGATTTGGAAACCCAAGGCTTAAAGGGCTTAGAAAAGGATATCCCATGCACCAAAGTCGACCACCTATAAGCTCAGCCCGACCAGGATAACTGAAGAGCTTTTCGACCGTTAAGGACACGTGGGTAGGCTAACAGCTTTATGACACAAGTCTCTAAAGACAAATCTACCCAGACATCAATCAAGCCACAGGGCAACTCGCATTCTGTAGTAGAGACCCATGATGAGACATAAAGGTGGTCGAAACGGTGCTCAGAGAGACTGGGGTTGGATAACCAAGGTTGAGTGGGATGCTCAACCCACATCATTATGGAAATGTGTGCAATTTTGACTAAACGCATGTCACTTCACTATTGAATGTCTGGTTGATAGGTGAAAACGTGTCAGTATGCTTTTATCTTCATTAAGAGAGAGAGAGAGAGAGAGAGAGAGAGAGAGAGAAAGAAAAAGAGAGAGATAAATCCATATTGGATTAAACCATCAATGATTAATATTAAACAAAAAAAAGACTGATGTAAGGAAAGATTGAAGATTTAGGTTGTTATTTTTTCACATTTCATATAGTAAAATCAGTAATATTTAACAAATCAAAATTTTGTTCCTTATGCGTGTTATTCTACGTTAGTTGGCGCATTAAATGCCAAGTTGGGAAGACCCAAGGCTGGGGTTCTTTCAAAGCCTATATAAAGGAGTGGGAACCTTTTGTATTATGGCCAAACGACTTAAAAGAGAAAAAGTTCATGTATTAAAGTGCTATTTTTAATCTTAGAGCAAGACAGTGGATGTAGCCCAGTTATGAGGGGTAAACCACTTAAATCTTTAAGCCTATTTCGTTTCAAACCATATCCCAAGCCCATCGAGGGGTTATCGTTTTCATTTGTTAACCTTCAAATTTTGAGTGCTAACACCACCACATTTGTGACAAACAAATTCTGCTTTCTATGTAGCTCTGGTACCATATGAAGCAATAGCGTACTTTTGACCTTTGAAGTCAAACAATACGTCAAATCAGAGTCGGTGAGCTCATGAAATGCATTAGGGACTCCAACTCTTTACTTGATTTTCACTAGGTCATCCCCTTGGGGTCGCTTCTAACCATTTCTTTAAAAAGAATTTTTTTATGAGTGTAATTTGATGACCAAGAATTAAAATGAGTGCAAGGTTAGATTCCTTTAATGTTACAAAATTAGACTAGTTCTTTCTATGTAATAACCTTAAAGGGATCATATTTTCTTCCCACAGGATGTAACAAATATAGTTTAATAATAACCAATTTTATAATTACCATAATAATTACACACTAACTGCCACGTCACATGAATATGCCGTTAAAGTGGTACAAATAAAGTTACTAGCATTAACGTCTAGTAATATTATTTTTTGAACTGTAAATGAAAGATTTCATGTTTGACTCAACTATATAAAGAATTTGATACACAACTATTATGACTGCCCATTAATGGATGTCTTAGTCTAATTCCTCCACCAAGAACAGAATATCATTATATATAAAAAAAAGATTTACGGAAAATGGTTTGTTGAAGGAAAAAAAGAATCTAATTATTTTTCCTAAAGGATAACAATATTGTCAGTGAAAAAAATTCCTAGTAATTAAAAAATAACCACATGGGGAGTTTACAACGGTAAGAGATGACCCTCGCCTTCACTGAAAAAATAAAACAAATAGAAATAATTCTAACAAGGAAGATTTCCATGGCCACTGGCCGTGCTGAAACTCTGGCCCATCCGCAGTTGAGAAATAGATTTTACTAAAACTGAAGACATTCGATCAAGCTGCCTCATCGACCGCGCCTTCAACGATCTACACTGCTTAAGAACCGGCTTCGAAGAGGAACAATCAGAAGAAGTAGAAGATGATGAAGAGGGCTTGTCATCACTCTCTGTGTATATATTGATAAGAACGTGGGAATGATCCAAAGACAAAGACCTCTCCAACCTCTTCAACAAAATCTGCTGCTTACTACTATCCTCCATAGGCAATACCACCAGTGACACACAATGCCTAAGCAAACCATTTGGTTTTGACAATTGGGTTGATATAGTAGTACTAGCAGCTGTAATTGCCAAACCCTCCTCTGGATCATGAGGGTGCGATGAGCAATTGGGTTGATATACTGGGCCGGCTTCTTCGAGTTCTCTGTCTCTAACTTGACCAACTTGATCATGACTATATTCCACAGGCAACGTTGATGCCACAGAAGCAATAGGCACATCTATAGCTGACCTACAAACCGGACAGTTTGTATGCCCCCAAAACCACCTTTCTATGCATGGATTATGAAACACGTGCTTGCAACTCGGCAACAAACGCACCAAATCCCCGTCTTCTAAGTCTCCCAAGCAAATCACGCACTCGCTTTGATCCACGCGAAAAAGTTCACCATCGTTCGTCGAGTACGAGAGAATTGGGATGGAATTCAGGACTTTCTCATCAACCCCATTGGATTGATTGGTGCCTGATTGTTGCGCGAGGCTGGCTTGGATTTGCAGTTGCATCTGCTGTTGCCTCCTCCGTAGGCAATACTTAACTAGGAAATGGTACGCAACTATTGCTAGGGTTGTGAAGACAATGCCTGCCATGGAAATCAAAAGGGGTGTGAAGAAAGAACCAGAACCTGAAGCTCCTTCCACTCTTATCCCAACATTCTCCATCTCTCACTTCAATCTGTTTTTTTTTGGCCAATTTCGGTGAGTTTTTTGGTGTTTTAGAGAGAGAGAGAGAGAGAGAGAGAGAGGTTTACAAAAAAAAACAGAAAGTGTAAGAACGTGACACTTTTGTGACTTGCGAGTGAATATATATAAGACCAAAGCGTGTAAAGAGAGCAACTCTTTGATTTCGAATTTGTTTCCAATAAATTTGGGATATGATCATTTGATCGTTGAGCGTTTCAAGTCGGTTTACACGCATAGCTGTTTTGGCGTGGACACTGCAGGCAACGGTTTTGTGGCACGTCTTTTGCCTAGTGTAAGAATTTGATAGAGAAGATTATGTATTTTAATGTTTTGAATGCTGATGTCTTATATCGTGGACACTAAATATTGGTTTTAATAGCTTTTGTATCCTTTTGTTTGAATTTTTAATTCCGTTTCGTCATTCGTGTTTTAGGTTTGTTTGGGAGGTTTGGTTACAATGCTACATTTCATTCAAGATACAAGCCTTATTTTAAATTTAACTATTAGTAAAATTTATAAGACCTGTCTATATGCAAGATCTAAATGGTTGATTTGATTCGTAGCATGAAAGAAAAATTGTTATTTGTGATCAGAAAACCTTTAAGGTCAACGGAACTAAAACAAAAATTCGAACGAAAAAATCATAGTTAAGCTAGCAATAATTAAAAATATGATATTAGTTATATATATAGTAGCATTGTTCTTCATTTGTAAGTGAGAGATTTTAAGTTCAAACATTGTAGATGACGAGTTCAATACCAATCTATTCTCTTACTCTTCAATATATATATATATCCTTGGACTAAGGAATATATATGGTGATGATGGAGACAAAGAAAGATTTGATCATTTGGAGAAGGCTAAGCAGATGCACCAACAGAGTTTTGAGTTGGTAATGTGACATTGGACGGTTGGATTGTTTAAGGGGATGACAGATCACAGCTTTGTAGTTGGAGATGATAATTGGTAGGTACGATATAGATATTCTGCAAGGAAGCAATAATAATAACAATAATTTTGACTCAGTGCCATGGAGCCTCCGTCATCTGCGTCTTTTTGTGGATGCGGTGTCCTGGATTTTGGTGGATGCTGACCGTTGTGCACCCAAAGGACCACATTGAGAAGACTTTTGTTGTGTTGTTGTGTTTGCACTTTCATCTCTGCGTGATTTCGGAATATTTGGTTTTGTTGCAGCCGTTGCATAACATGTGGCACTGTTCCATGTTATGTGGTGTGGTCCTAGCACCATATAACATGGAACAGCCTGCACATAACATGCATTTTTTAAATTTTATGTGATATACTCTGATGTCAGGCCCGGCCTAGGTCCAGTGCGGGCAGGACGACCGTCTAGGGCCCAAAAAAATTGGGGGCACCAAAATTACTAGGACGGTATATTTATATATGTTTTTATAATAGTATAATTTTATAAAATTTGGTTTAGTGACAAAGAAATTTAACTAGAACCAGTGGTTTTGTTGTTTAAAATGAATGAGGAGGTCTTAGGTTCAAAACACAATGTGAGCTTATTTACATTCCAATTTTTACAAATTTCTCTTTATAACAATATAAATTTATAAAATTTGGCTAAATGATCAAGAAGTTTAATTAGAAGCAATGGTTTTTGTTGTTTAAAATTAACGAGAGGTCCTAAGTTCGAAATGCTATGTGCATGTTTATTTTTTTTAATTTTTACAAATTTTTGTTTGGTTGCTAATTTATTTACTAGCTAGTAGCTATGTGGGTTGCTATTTTTAAATATCCGTTCCAATTCAAGTCTAATCTTCAGCAAAGAGTAATACGTAGACAAAATTTTTAGACCAAATTTGCAAATAAAATTACGTATCATCAAAAGGTTTAATTTAGTGTTCATTCATTACTTATACATATCCTTAAAGACTCAAAAACATTAATATTTTTTTTAGTCTTATATTGACGAGGTTAGTAAATAAGAAAAAATAACTCACGATTTATACAAAAACACTTTAAAAGTTCAAAGATTTTTAGTTTCCTTCTCTTGATACAAAATAAATTAATTATTCCATGTTTCTAAATTATTGAGCTTGTAATGTTTTTCTAAATATAATTTTATCGATGTTTTACGTGTGAAAACAAATATATTTTTTTATATATGAAATGAGGGCATATTTTTTTGTGTCGCTCCAGGCCTTAAAAATCTCTGGACCGACCCTGTCTGATGTATCTTATATACTTAGATATTTTATAAAGACAAATTTCAAGAATCATCTCGTGATGTAAGCGAAAGAAGGAAAAGGTGTTTCAGTTATTTTTTTTCCCCAAAGATAACATATATTAAAGACGAATCAAAAGGTTAACATCAGTAGCAAGCGTATTAAACAAAAAAACTGGACCAACATTATCCCAGGTATAGTCCCGACCTTTCTTGAACACATACTTAGCCACCAAGTGAGCAGCTTGATTACTCTCCCTAGGCACAAACGCAAACGTCACCGATGTTAGCTTTCGTGTTAGGATCTTGATGTCGCCAAGAACGCAGTCCAAATTACAGTCTGCAGACACTTCCTTCCTGATCATTTGTATGATCATCAGAGCATCAGATTCAACAATAACATGATTGAATCTGTGATTAATACATGCCGACAAGGCAGTACGTATCGCTATTGCTTCGGCCACATCAGCGCTTTGACAGAGCATAGTACCCGAGCCACCCGCAGCTTGGAGCACCCCTGCAAAATCTCTCCCCACTCAGCCCACTCCTGCACGGTGAGTTTCCTTGCACCAGGCCGCATCCGTGTTGATCTTGATGGTCCCGTATTTAGGTCTTTGCCAGTGAGGGATATTCCGGACAGTAGCTGAGTGGTTGCCGTCAACCTTGGCCTCAACGATGCCATCCACATTAGCTGACGCCTCCCTGAATTCCTTAATGTTTTTGCGCCATAAGTCCAGAACTTTAAGAGGTTGGCGATGCAGCCCCTGAAAGACAACTGCATTCCTGTTTTTCCAGAGTCTCCATAATCTAAAAGCAAATTCTTGATAAATCTCATTTGCGTTTACTCTATCCTTGACACACTTGTGGAATTTTCCCCAGCTGTCAAGAAAATCCACTCCTTCCAATTGAAGGGAATTCAGGTGAAGAGGAGAGCAAAACCAGAATAAGTGACTGAAATTACAACGAAAAAATAAGTGGTTTTCCGTTTCGTCCGGTGAATTGCACACTCCACATACATTATCAACCTTCAAATGTCGTCTCTGAAGGTTCCGTCGAACAGCCAAGGCATTGCTGCAATATCTCCAGATAAAAAGCTTGATTTTGTTAGGGACCTGTAGGCGCCAAATCCAGACCCAGACTTTTTTCAGATTCTGTTGATCACTAGGGGCACCCCGTCCCTTCTTGCCCAAAGCACCGTTTTCCATCAAGTCCATTGCTACTCCGTACCCGGATTTCACGGAATAAATCCCATTCGCAGAATAATGCCACACCAATTTATCTACACAGCCAAAATAACTTAACGGAATACTAAGAATGGTGTCTGCTTCCTCCCGGTTAAATCCAGCCCGAATGATGTTTGCCTTCCAAGAGTTGGAGGCCGGATCAATTAAATCGCATACCCAGATGGCATCTAGGTCCATAGCAGGCCGAACACGAAAGGTAGATGGTTTAGGAAACCATGGGTCTTCCCTAATATTTATGCAGTCACCATTTCCCACTCTCCATCTCATCCCATTCTGCAGGACCTTGCGGGCTTCAAAAATGCCTTTCCACCCCCAGGAGGTGTTCTTCCCTCTCCTTGCTTCTCTGAAAGATTTCCCAGGGTGGTATTTATCACGCAAGACAATAGCCAAAGGAGACGACGAATTGAGGGACAGTCGCCATCCAATTTTGGCCAGAAGTGCCAAGTTAAAGCACTGAATATCCTTAAAACCCAGGCCTCCTGACTTCTTTTGTTTCGAAATCTGTTCCCAGGAAACCCAATGGATCCCTTTGCGTTTATCGTTGCCTTTCCACCAGAATTTTCGAATGGCTTTCTCAATATCCCTGCAAAGTCCTATAGGTAACTTAAAGCAACTCATAGCATAATTTGGTAGAGCCATGGCCACAGCTTTGATCAAGACTTCCTTTCCAGCTGGAGACAAAAATTGTTCGGTCCATCCGGCCAGTCGAGCTTCCACTTTGTCACGAACCTCCGCAAAAACAGCTTTTTTGGAGTGACCGAAATCAGCCTGCAACCCTAAGTATTTCCCAAATCCCTGTCTGCATTGGATCCCCAAAGTTTCCTCAATATCCCTTTTTAAACGATTTGGGGTTTTAGGGCTAAAGAAGACCGAACTCTTAGTCAGGTTGATTTCTTGACCAGAGCCACGAGCATATACCTGCAGCGCCTCAACAACAGCTCTCGCTTCGTCCACTGTGGCATTGCCAAACACAACAGAATCATCAGCAAAGAATAAATGGGTAAGCGGAATCCCACTAGGCGTGAACTTGAAGCCATGTAAGGCACCTAGTTCGATCCCCTTCCTGAGAAGCATTGAAAGGCCCTCAGTGCAGAGGAGAAATAAGAAGGGAGAGAGAGGGTCGCCCTGCCTCAACCCCCTCTGTGGCACGATGTAACCTGTTGGGGTCCCATTAACCAGAATGCTAAACGATACAGTGGAAATACAAGCCTTTATCCACTTGCAAAAGAGAGGCGCGAATCCCATCTTAGTCATTATGGCAATGAGGAAATCCCATTCGATCCGATCATAAGCTTTAACCATGTCCAATTTAATAGCCATACCAGCCTTATCCTCCCTCCTTTGGTGCAGCAATGAATGAAGGACCTCATGTACCACAAGAATGTTGTCCTGAATTTGTTTTCCAGCTACGAAGGCTGATTGGTTATCCCCAATCACTCTAGGCATCACCACTTTTAGTCTATTGGTGAGAACCTTAGCAAGGATCTTGTAGATTACGTTGCACAGAGCAATGGGCCTATATTGTGTCATGTTCCTAGGGCACTTCACTTTTGGGATAAGCACCAAATTGGTATGGTTTAATTTCCGCAGAAGAGTACCTGAGTGCCAGAATGCTTTAACAATCTTAATCACATCCTCCCCCACAGTATCCCAGTGATCTTGGTAAAAGCAAGCAGAGAACCCATCCGGCCCCGGAGCCTTAGTCGGAGGGATTTGCGAGACAGCCAACAAGATTTCCTCATTAGATACCGGGGCAGTCAGGGCAATGTTGTCCTCAAGTGTGATCCTGGCCTCCACATTTCTCACAGTGTC